CACCCGCACACGCACCCGCACACGCAGCCCGAACGTGCGCCCAAATTCCAATTCGGCGGCGGCTCGACGCTTTGCCAGGTTGGCACTCACTGGCATCTGCAAGTCTATAACCCCCTTCTTCTTCTGCGCTCAACGGGAGGGAGAGACGGACGAAAATCTTAGAACCGCTTTTAGCAAGGGCAGGGGATGCAGGGGCGTGCCTGCGATTCATTTCGATTCGAGTTTGAGGTTCCAACAAAGGCTTTGAAAGAGCAGCGCTTGGATCCAGGCTTCGATGCCCCCACAGGCGGCCCAGGCCTGCGAAAGGTCGTGGTCTCGGCTGGGCTTCGGGAGCCCCTGCGGCGCCTCTGCGGCTGCAATCGTTGCGGGGAAGATGCCGCCGAAGAAACAGACCAAGAAGCCTGGCAGAAAGTCCACGTCTTGGGCCGGCTTCCACTCCCCGATCCCGATCGGCGAGGAGCCGGCTGAGGATGGCCCAGAGCATCTTTTCCGGCATCATTCCGATCAGCTTCTGTGAATCGGACAGCTTTGCATGGCCCTTTCAAAACTTTCTCCATCTGGCGGCTGAACCGCCTGGAGCTCTCTGATGGCCTTCACTACGTACGGTAATGCCGTCCTGATCGAAAGCTGGATTGGATCCTAGCTGTGGCCTTCCGACAATCATTGCTGCCAAGCCACAGCAGGAAAATCCATGCCTTTGCAAGATATGGGGCTGCCTGCCTGCCACAGCCAGCAGAATTTTCAAGAAGCTCCGGGCAACAACAGTATTTCAACTGGTGTCCCACCTCACCGTGTTCCGGATGTTGGGCGGGAAGTTCTGCGCAACTTCCTCTGCCCAAGACATGGTGCGTTCCATATCAGGCCTAAATAGCCATGCGCATCCCTGCGCCTCAATGGCAGCAGCGATGCGCTGAAGCTCTGCATCAGACACCTTTGCAACAGAAGACAAGGCACCGCAAAGGCCACCGCTCCAAGCTGGCCAGGCCTCCTTGTGCGCACTTTGAGCTGCGCCCTTCTTCTTTGTTGCCTGAGGAGCGTCTTCTTGATAGGTGTTCTTGACATGCTGTGGGACCTGTAGGGTCTAGACCATGCGAAAGCTCGGCAAATTGGACTATCCACGTCTACTGGAGCCCATGCGGTCGCCACGGGAACTGCAGAACCTAGACTTCTCAAGCCGCATGAAACTGCTGCAAACCTCCTCGCGGCGGAGCCTCAGCTGAAGTTTCAGAGAAGGCTACTGCCAGTTTTGAAACCTCACCGCTGAAGCCCTCAGGCTTTTGCTTCTGCTGCAGCTTGCATAAGACACCCCTGCAAGCAAACGATGGAAAATAGCTGCAGGGAAGCCTTGATGCTGCGAAGGAGACTACTTTGTGAGGACACTAGCGGCGATGAGGTGCGCTGGCCAGGGCTTGGCGAACGTCCATGTCGACGTACTCATCGAAGGGGCTTTGCATGGGAACAAGGGCCGGATCTGCTCGGTAGGAGAGCAACAGCTTCACGATGACTAAAGGCTGACGGTCCGCACGCACAGCACAAAGGAGAGGGGAGGTGCCATCGGCTGAGACCGCGTTTGGGCAAGCCCGGGCCTTCAACAGCACCTGACAGTCTTCATGGTTCCCTAGCTGGGAGGCCCACATCAGCGCATTCCATCCGTCCGGACTGGAAGCCTCCGGCTGTGCGCGTGCTTCGAGAAGCGCTGTCAGCAATGAACTACCCCAGCCATTCTGCCGGCTGCAACAAGCTGCAGCAACCAAGGGCGGACGTCCCATCGTGTCTGGCGACCACAGATCCAGAGACTTGGACTTCGTAAACGTGGAGAAGGCCACGGCTCTGGCGACTTCCGATGCTGCAGATCTGCCCATGCCGCGGTTGCCGGTTGCAAGTGCAGCCAAGCTGACAGCGATGTTGCTCTCCTCACGCTGCGTCTCTGTCCAAGCAGCGTCTTCGGCCGCCAGCTGCATTCCTTTCGGCCCAAGGCCAGCTGAAAAGAGGGCAGCTTTGCAAAGCAGCCGACAGCGGCAGGCAGCCTCCAAGCCGAGATCCTTCACGATCAGACCAAGAACGTCACAGACACAGAGGCACCGGGCCTCCGCGGCCTCCGCGGCCAGCTGAGGGCCCAGAGTGCTCAGAAGGAGCTCCTCGGACTCAGCCTCAGCCTCCGCAGCCTCCATTACGCAGCGCTGGTACCGCCGCCGGGCGAAGACGGCCAGAACTCCGATTCCGGCGAGGCTCGCTGGGATGATGGCATGACGGTGCTGCAACACACCCATGGGAGAGCTGCTATGCCATATGCCAGCACCCTGCACTTGCGAACAGACTAGGGTGCAGAGGACTGAGCAGAGTTGCTATTAAAGTTTGCTGCCATGATATTGTGGATCTCAGCCTAAAACTGTAAGGAGGAGGCAGGTGGTAGATCGTAGACTTTGCGAAATCTGTTACAGTCCTGTCCACATGCTTCAGAACGTCCACAATAGGTCTACCTGGTATACCTTCCTAGAGCCCAACGCTACGAGCGGTCACCGTCGGCCTTCGCAAGCTCATGCAAGCTCTGATCATGCTTGCTTGCACCAGGCAAGATAGAACGTTCTGTTTTGCGACGGCTGGAGTCGACGTGGCTCAATGGCCCAAGTCGCACTCGTCGCGCTCAGAAATCGCAAGCTATCCGACCCCTGGGCTCTGAGACAAAAATTTTCGTGGAGCCTTCCAGCCGTGGGGGAGGGGCCCAATCCAGGCGAGCCCGAGGCCTCAGTGAACAGTGCAAAAAGACAGGTCTTACTTCGCAGTTCCTTGATGGACTGTCTCTAGCGCTCTGTCGCCATAGAACCCGTAGAAACTGAGAATCCTGGCTGGGCTCCGCAGGCTCCGCAGCGGCGCGGCGGGGCCGAAAGGACAGGGCCGCCCCTAGGAGGCTTCCCTGAGCAGAGTGGCTTGAAAGTCGCCGCAGGGTCGCGCCGCGCAGGAACGGTATTCTACCGTTTTCTTCCAGGACTACGAGGTGTAGATCAACACAAAAGAGCCAAGTGTATATATATATATGTATCACAAGATGTCAAGCCATTCAGCGCCACACCCGCTCTGCACTCTGTGTGCAACGCCACAATTGAGTGCTTCAGACTAGCAGTGTGCGTTGCCGGGCACACTCATGCAAACCTCGAACAGGCTACCTGCACCAGGTCTTGGGTTGGGACCTGCATGCTTGCAAGGTGAGCTTTAGACTGATGACCTCCCAACAACTGCCTATCCCTCACGTACCTTGCTAGCCTTGCAGAGTCAAAAGGACAGGTGGGGACCGGCCCGTGCCATGCTTTCCTACAGTTCGTTGAAACATGGCCCTACTTCGGGAGGTGTACCAGTGCATGTCAAGCCTCTGACACTCGAGCAAACGTTACGGATGCGAGTAGATCACAGCAGGACGATCGGCGACATGCACAGGTACGCTCCCGTCGGGTGCGCTGTCATGCGTTTTCGCAACATGGCCTTTGCAGCTGACTAGGTCACCTCTTGCCAGTCTCGATCCGTCTTAATATGTCTCACCAAAACTGAGCTGGTCTTCTTAAAGATCTGGCGCCAATACAGGCTGAAGCATGTCGCCTGGCAGAGGCCTGCTGCACCGCATCACAGCTCTATCAATATCTAATGTACCTCAACTGCTGCTGTAGCAGGTTGATGACAAGGCTGCACATCGCTCATTCCATCTCGAAAGTGCCTACAATGATAAGAAGCCACCGTATGAGCCAGTGCACCTCGCCGACCGCTGCGCTTGATCACAAACCCTCACAGTTTTCAGGAATGACAACATGACGAAGTGGTTCTATCCGTGCCGCTTAAGCTGTGTTGAAATTTCAGCCGTCAAGGCTCTGCCTCCGCCCGTGTCGGCAGTATGGACAGATTGGAAGAATTCTAAGACATTCAATTCGAGTGAAATCTGCCAGATGCGCAATGAGCACTCAGCCGGATCCACCCTGCAAGGGGCACTCATGACTCATGCCATGAGATGCTGGCCACTCAGCGATTTGAAGTTCTCATCACTTAGAGCCTTGATACCACCTTTGGCTCCCGCTCCTGCACTGCGCCAGCCGCAACAGGCCAAGTTCGCGCAACCGCGGCAAGTCACGTGGTCCTGCACCGCCCCGGCCTCCAGTCGTTGGTCCTGTTTGCTTTAGCGCAGAGAAAGTGCCGACACCCGAGATACCCGAGAAGCCGTGCCTGCTCCAGTTCCTCTTCTCCCCTTCTTCCTGGGACAGCTCTTGAGAGGTTCCCAAAGTGCCGAATAATCGTTGGCAACTGGTCGCATTCGAGATGCCTTTGGCTGGCTCCGGCCATGCCTGAACTTGCACGTAACACAGCTCAGGTCCCAGCACTCTCCGAGGCTCCGGCCGTCGCTCAAGTTGGAAGCACCTGTTTGGGAAACGCACGCACCTTGAGGCTTGGGCTCGTAAGCCGTCCCGGACAGAGCTACAGTCCTTTTTCTGACATCGCCTTTGCCGGAAACGACAGAAGCGGCAACACTATGTAAATCTATCTGGACCTCTCCCAGCTTCGGCAAGTCATCGCATCGAGCTCTTATCAGTGAACATGGACATCATCCTCACGATGCCATGGCTGGGGAGGCCCCTCTCCCCCGACTTTCATCAGGGAAAGAAGTACTGGAGAGCTTCGACAATGCCCCCAGCGACCTGTAGGCAAGTTGAGACCAAACGGAGTGCTTTGTCGGAGCGACAGAAAAGGGAAGCAAGCCTCGCGTCCTGCGAACAGCATGGTGCTTCCGTGGCAAGTCTTAAACCTGGCGGAAGCAGATCAGTCGGAGAATCTGACACTGCCATGTTGACCACCAATATTGCCCAAGGTACTCGGCTCCTCTCCTCAATTCCTTTGTGGGTGGGTCTGCGGCTGCGGTCATAGCCTGCGGCGACTTTGTCAAGCCCATGAACTTTTCAGCCACCACTTTTCACCTCCACCAGCTCTGGCAGAGCATTGGCCACCATCACCTGGAAAATGGACACATCACGGCATGTCCGTCCCCGGCGCTCTCTTCCCAAATAGGCCCCGGCCCCGCGGCCACCAGAATTCCTAAACATCAGCTCATCGTTGCCACCTGCTAAAGTCTGAAGTCAGTCACCAGTCACACAAACAGGAGCAAAACGTAAATCTCAGCTGCACACTGTCTCCGCACGCCAGAGTCTTCGCCGGTTCTCAGTGGGGCTTTGATTGCTCAGGTTGCTCTGGCTTGGGTCGATGCCCTTCGACTCTGTGATTTCAGCACAAGGATAGGAACCCTCCGAGCTGCGACACCAAACTTGAGCGTCGACATGGCAAACTGCATCGCCTTCAGCTTCCCGGCCTGGCAGAGAAACTGCCCGCGTGGGTCGCCGGGGATTGGATTTCTACTTATGGTGACGGCGCAAGGCTCCTGGCGATGAGCACGACAACCACACGCATCACGACAAGGACAACGAGGAGGGTCGGTGTAAAACCCTGAACAAACCCGTCTGTCTCTGTCTGTCTCTGTCTGTCTCTGTCTGTCTCTGTCTGTCTCTGTCTGTCTCTGTCTGTCTCTGTCTGTCTCTGTCTGTCTTTGTCT